CTTTATCCCAGTTCCAGTGATCTTTAATGTGTGGCCTTGTCTGAAGCCAGCCTTACTTCTGAAAGCTTCTTCATTGGGTCCTGTTTATCCTGGAGGACATACTGTACATTGCATGGCCCCTTTCATTTCTATGGGGATAACCATACTTGAAAGGACTGCTAGGGCCATTATGAGTGTGGCTCCTTATAGGAATGAATAGGGCCATAATACGTATGCTCAGGATGAAGACGACACAGCAGGGACGCACAGTGAAGATCACTGTAACAAGGCGAAAGGTAAGTATTGTGGACCAGGTGAGCTACAAGTGTCTTTTGGTGCAAGGACAGATGTACCAAAGGTATAGTTGTCCTTTAAGGCCAGTTAGGTTGGCTGGTGGCCAGGAGAGGTATGTACACAAGCTGTGCAATGCAAGGCAAGAGCTGGGTGATGATGCTCAAGTTCAAGACTTGATGCTCTCTTACCCTTCACTATTCTACCCAAAACCATAAAGTTTTGGTTATAGATTTACTTGAAGTTATATATGAAAATACGTGAGTGGTGTGTGACCCACAGAGGGCCGTAGTGAGTATGGGCGCCAGGGCACCAAGACTGCCATTAAAGCTATTTACATAAAGTAATGATACTGCCACTGAACGACCAGTCTAATGAAAGAATATAATTCACTCATATACTTCACAACAAGAAAACATTTCTTAAGTAGGTTCAAAAATTCAGGCAAAATGACATTACAATAAAGACATAATTATGATGAGAATGTTTTATTTTCTCAGGTCAAAAAACAGATGATTATCCACAAGATCTATAGATCTTCAGCAGCCTCTGGTTTGCCTAATATGAGATGTTTCTTTTGAGGTCCCTGTAAGAAAGAAGGAATATCAGATATGTTACCATGAGAAATTTGTGGATTAATAACCCCAGCACAATCCAGATAGTCAATATATGAGTGGGGCTTCTTGTTTCTTAAAGGCCATTATCAGGGGAAGTTGCCTATATTTGGCTATGTGTGTTGAAGAAAGCTTGTACTGTACATTAGGGCTGAAGTCAATATGTTATAGACCGAGGCAAGAGACAAATTGTGGGAAATCTTAGATAGCAAAATGTAACAGTTTAAATGTATTTAATAGAAAGCCTTTTTGGCCAATAAAGAATAGATAGATAGATAGATAGATAGATAGATAGATAGATAGATAGATAGATAGATAGATAGATAGATAGATAGATAG